TTTCGTTAGTCTTTTTAATATCACATTTAAACTCGTTATATACTCTAAGACGTTTTATTTTCAGTGACAATGTCTGCATCAATCTGAGCCTCCTGCTCTGTTAAATATGTTGGTTTTAAAATTTTTGCTGTAACATTCTCAAGAAACGGTTTTCTATATCGCGTTGAAACCCTTGATGGTAATGTATTGAGATCAACTGTTACTGTTGATTTTGGCTTTGATTTCTTCTTACGAAATACAAATGGGTTAAACTCTTCAGTATCAGAAGTATTTTCTTGTTCAGTTTCACTTAATTGGTCTTCTGTGATTACTTCCTTTTCAAACGACATAGCACTTGTTTCTATCTCAGGAGTATCAGGTAAATCACTGTCAGAAAAATCTAATGCCGTTACTTTGCCTTCATCAGACAAATCATATTCTGTATCGACGTTGGTACTTTCGTTGGTATTAGTACGATTATTGGCTATGTCGATAGAATTTGATTTACAAACGCTTCTATGTTCCTGATCATTTATTTGTGATGGCTGACAAGAAATAGGAACTTCTTTCGCACTACTTACATGAGCGTGCAACTCTTTGCTTGATTCTTCGTTGTTTTTATCAGCATGGTCAATTATTTGTGGACGGGTGACATTTTTAGCTTTGTGAGGTTCTAGTAGGTTTGAAATTATTGCTTTATCCTTATAATTTGCATTTTTGTCATCTTTATCGTCAGGTTTATTATTTAAATTAAAAGATTCCTTTGGTTCCAAACATTTTTTTCTTTTAACTCTCTGGGTTCTTTGCCAGTAAATTAATATTTTGTACTAGATTAGAGTTTGATTCATTCAATTGTTTCATAATTTATGATTTCAGCTCTGCTCTCTTAAGAACGTAGACTTTATTGACTGAAAAATACAATATTTTTATTATCACTTAGGTTTTATTTATGAAGTAGACAAATAAATAAACAATCTTAACATCATGCTTTTATTTTTGCTCTTATAGCCAACAATAAAATCGTATTTAATAGAAAATAAGTAGTAACTTATACACTGTATAATGAAGTTAATAATGTTTACTAAATATTCAACCCTATGTACAGAGTACGTGGTAACTATAATCTACCTAACTAGGTACATTAAATAACATGGTAAGCATATTATGTTTAAGGTAAAGCAAGTAGTAAAAGGCATGGTGTTAAGATTGAAATGTAGGAATAACAACACTTGCGCGCGCAACTATTTCGTGCAAAAAAAGAGGCCATGTTTTGATTGAAATTTAACAAAATGACAGATGGACCAAACTAATCAAGAAAGTAATTTTTAAATGCGTAGATAATGCTAGAATACGGTCTAATGTCTACCTAATGAGACTTTAACGGTTATGAGAGTGACAGGCAGGATAATTTTTCCCATATTCCGTGGAAATACCAACAGTTGAATGTGTTTTTTTAAATATTTATATTAATGACAGTCATCCAAAGTGATCTAAAGTTATTATTTTAAAGGTCAATTAGTAAATTAATAAATATTTCAAACTTTAAAAATTCTAGTTCTCGAATGAGCAACCATTTATATATAGACTGATAAGTTGATACGCCAGAAATCCCGAAATATACAACTCGACCCAACAACAGGAAAAAAGATAAATACAATAAGTAGGTAGGTACTTACGTACGTATAGATAGCTGGATTAAAGCCATCAGGATAAAACATCACTTAATAATATTCTGGGAGTCGAACACATGTATACTGAATGTTGTTTTGACAGATACTGAAAATACCTAACTATAATATGACTATGTTAAGCTCCACGAAATAATTGCGATGCTAGATCGGAACGTCAAAACTGTTCAAATGTAGTCATCCATTTGAATTAGTTATCACACAAATATGACTTTCGGACTACGTTTCATAATACTATTATTATTCGTACATACTTATATATTATTTTAATTTTACACTATAGCAGAGTGAGGGAGACGGCAAGATATTGGCGGGAAACAAGGTCATTAGTCATCACACACGCTTCGCGGTATTCCCCAATCACATTGTGGTACGTACCACGAATAATAATGAATGGATGGACGCTTTTTATGCGTATATCTTCAGATCAACTGCACCGAATCGATAACTTTTTTCCAAAATTAATGTTCACATTACAGTATCAACGCGAAACTAAAGGTGCAGTACGAAATATAAGTTTATCAAATATCTAATAGTATTGAACCGATAAGAAACGATAACAACGATTGCGTCATGTTTTGCAGAATTTGTAAGTACGTGATTAGAATGTCAGTATTTAATAAAGGATGGGACCAATTCTAAACAATTCAAAACTTGCTTGCACAGGTACAGTTGATAGTATCGAGGTTTTCTTCAAGCTGTTATAGATCATATACCTAATGCGGGCAAACGTTATTATTAACGCGATAAGTAAATTAAATAAAGTACCTAAACTATAGAATCTTATACTATTATATAAAGCGGAAGTTTGTATTTTTGTTTGTTTGTTTGAATGTGCTAATCTCAGTAACTACTAGTCTGATTTGAATCGTTCTTTTTGTGTTGGATAGCGCATTTATCGAGGAAGGCTATAGGCTATAAAACATCACGCTACGACCAATAAGAAGGTGTGAAACCGCACGAAAGTAGCTAGTAGTTAATATATGAGTAATAGTTATCGCTCTAAGAAATAGTAATAAATTTCTGCTGACTAATTTTCGTAGTTTTACTGTGAATGACTGTTTTTTTATAATACTGGTAAAAGTGATTGTCATAATACATTTAACAATAAAACAAGTTTATAGTGGGCATTATGTTAGTATCGAACATAATAATAAATATAATATGTTATTATAGGTAATTATGATTATAATTGAATTGTAACTTTCGTGAGACATACTAAATAAATTATTATGTTTTGAAACTCTAGTCGAGTTCCTCGTCAAATTACTACGTGAGTATGCCGAAAACATAATAATTTATGATTATAATTATAATATATTATCTATAGGGCACAGCAATTTAACTTAGTTATAAGTTATAAGTATAACAGGGTAGTGTAGGTACTGTAGGTCTAGTTGTATGTAATACTTCTTATGCAATATATGTAAATAATTAATATGAGGTAGTATTCAAAAGTTTTGTGATAATACGTGTTTGGGATCAAATCATCGCATCGTATGAAATGTCGAAATGAAAAGACATTATTTCAAAATCTTCAGTCAGCGTAATATATTTTCAGGAAAGGCACCATGATGTCAGTATAATTCAATTTCTACAATATTTCATAAAATTATTATTAAAGCTTTGAGGTACTTTGTTAATAGCTAATGTCTGCTTTAAGCGTCAGTTATGGCTTTATCACCGGAGCACGTACAGCAATTGTCTTTAAGTAGGTACACCGCTACGCGTGATCTTGACTAGGTTCTTCTGAAAACAGTTTTATTAGTCACAAACAGATTTAAGACATCTAACACTTACACTCTATAAAGTAGGTAACTTACCACAGATGTGAATGCAGACCCCAAGGTTCTTTTGGGCTTCTTGCATATAATAATATCGTCGTTGGATCGGACTTCGGCGTCCTCGTCATCAGCTCCTAACTCTGAACTTAACATCTTGATATCTTTTGCTTCAGTAGCACTTATAGTAGTGTATGTTCTTTTCTTTTCACCTTTATACTGATAATTTTTTAAGGCATTAAAGGTCACGATTTATTTAGAAGTTTCTTTCTAAATTCTAAAGGGGCAGGTGATAAAAACCACCATTGTCATTTGTCATGCACATTGCTGTCTGCTCTACATAGAATCACTGTACAGGACTATGTGGGTCAACGCGTGGTGATAATATCAATTCCCCTTGCCTAAAGTACTTCTCCAACCGGACAAGGTGACGTAAGAATGAGGAACGGTTGCCATACGGCCCCTGGAGTTCGTTCCAAACCTTCTTAGTTTCTTCGTCGAACTGAATCGTAAAATTGCATTTCTCCCAACCTTGAGAAGTGACTCCCTTCACATTGTTAAACTCTATATTACATTCTAAGTTCATCTCGCTCTCGCCTGGAACCATTTTGCGGATAGAAATCGAAGGGTTTGTCTCCAGCATCTTAACATGGTCCTCGGCCTCTAACTTGTTTTGATTCTTTGACATCTCAGTTGGGGTCTTCTTTACGTGTCCCTTGTTTTTTGATATGTTTATATTAGGTGGTGTCTTGTTGGGTGTGGTCTCTACAACAGATCCTTCATTCAGTGAAACATTTCTTACAATTGAGATACCTTCCTTCGCTCCATTCTCTTTATTATCACTGTTCATAGAAATTGAACGTTTAACGAATTTGACTTTAGACCTATTTTCTTTCTTTAACATCTCCTTAGTCAGTTCCTTTTTTATCAGCCACTTGCCTTTCGTAAAAATTATATCAGGGTGTTTCATTTTCGGTGTACTATCTATAGAACTTTCTTTAAGCGAGACATTGTTTACTATGGACTCTTCTTCAAATCTTGCACTCCATTGCTACTCTCTTCATTAACACTTTTCACAGAATTAGACTGTTTCGTGTGACTAATATTCTCTGACGTAACTTGTGTGGTGTTCTCAGACGTCTGAGTTTTGTTTTTTGATATATTCATGTCAGATATTTTCTTTTTGGGTATGATTTCTATGGTACACTCTTTACTCAGGGTGATATTATCTAGTATAGTGATACGATCTTTTACTATGTCTTCCCTATTCTCTTCATATTGAGCATTTTTAACTAGGCTTCTCATTAAGATTATATCAGCCGGTTTCTTATTAGCTGTGGATTCTATGGTCATTGTTCATTTATTGGGATTTTCTTGAGAATATTTGTCTTTGCCTTATACTTTTCAAAAGCCTTGCAGAAACTTACGTTTTGTGGGGCATCTGGTTTCAAATCTACCTTCTTAATATGTTCCTCTTGTGTTTTGTGTAGACTGACTGGATCTTGAATACTACGTTTTACATTCTGTACTTTTTTCAACTTTTTTATTACACCTAGTTAGGCAGAAATTGTGTGGGGTCTTTCTGTTGTTTAAGTTCTGTTTGCCTGTCTGCCTCAGATCTATTACTTTGGTGGTTATGATCATCGGGAACTGGGGTCTTGTTCTGGTCTGACCTTTGCTGTTTTTCATCGTCACTGCTTTCTATAACTATGATTTCGTCAAGGGTACTGTCGTTAGGCTTTTTAGAAGACTCACCGTCAATTTTGTCATTAGCTGCTTTAGATTTCCTGTTTTTAGATTTGCGTCCGGGTTTCTTTTTAAGTTTGCCATTTTGTATATTCTTTGTCTCATTTTTCAGTTGCCGTCGTCCTTTTATGTTGCGTTTTTTGGGGAACCTAGCAAGATGATCAAAAATATGTTAAAAACTGGATAGCTGGGTAACGACTTTCTATTATTCAATAAAAATATTACTGCTTAATTAGCTACAATGCATCAGAGCTGTAGAACTACTCACTTGTACGTTACGGTAGTGGAGTGTTTGATGGGCGGTCGCCTGCGGCGAGGGGGGTAGTTGTTGCGCCGGAGTACGTATCGAAAACACGTATCACATAGGCAACTGTCTACAGTCAGTACCTTCTCGTCTGAAGTAGGAGATAAATTACTGTTTTATACAACTATAACATTATAAAAATTTAAACTTTTTATTATTCAGTGACGATATAATGCATCTTCTAGTCGAATCGGACAGAAATAAGTGCTATATGACTCAATAAAGGTTCTAGGTCTATATGTAACTACAAAAGCTAAAAGATCAGCCTTGCATTAGTTACTGAATCAGATTGATATGTTAAAGTTATAATAATATTTGGAACTAAATAGTAAAGCATACAAAAACTTACTGTTCAGAACTTTCTTCTGTATTTCTGGTTTCTTGATCTGAGCGATGTGGCATGGTTTGTCGAAGAGACGGAACTTGGTCTTGCAGTAGGAACACTGGTCCTTGCACTGTTGTCCCGAGTGGATGCTGAACGATGATGTCTTCTCCGGGATCACCAAGAGCTTCGGCTCCACGCGTACGGCCTTTGTTTCTGCGGGAATTACGCATTTTTTTCATTTTCGTGTTAAGCTGCCTTTTGTCTTTGGTTTTTGATACATTTTGTACTTCTGCCAATAACGGAATATCACCTCGCTTATTGCATTCAGTCTTCTTTTCCTGAAGTATTCAGTTTTTGTTCGTTATGTCGTCCGGCTGAGCACCCGGATATATTTGTTACATTACTTATATTTAGTTTTTCTATTGGATCGTTAAGAAGAATACCAAATTATTGGGTTTCAGCGTTGAATATACCTTCGTTATTCTCTTTGTTGGCGGTGGCGGCATAAATATCTAACTGCATTTCATGCTGGTCATCAAATTTGCGTACTTTAGGTAAATGTTTTGTTGTGTGTCCTAGTATGTCGTCTTCACAATTTGCAATACTATCATGGCCAATTTCACGCGGTCCGGATGATTCGTAGAAGCTAGTGCTAGGGCTGTCAACAACACTGAATGAAGTTGTCGATGTGCTAGGTCCTTCTGTTTCTAGTTTTCTACGTTTCGGTTTTGATTCTGTTTCAGATGAGCCAGCCTGGAAAAATATAATCAAACATTCCCCATTAATATTTTATTTATAATATGATTACTGAGTAATGATATCATTACTCATTATTGATATTTAAAATATGTAACACGAGGGTTAACAGTTAGGTTTGGGCGCATGCCTTACGGCGGCGAGACATACCACCGCCCAGCTGCGGCCCAGATGTGGCGCAAGGGTCCTTTATTGTCTTTGCTCGGACGCACCCTTAACGGAGTGAAAGCGAACCCCCGCCAACGACAGTGGACAACTAGCCGCGAGAGCGCATAGCCGCTATTCCGCGAGGCACCCTGTTACATTAACTAATTTTAAGTTAACCCCTGTTTGTGCAGTTTTATAGACACCTGTTCAGTTAATAAACGTTTTCACTATAGTTTTCGTGCATTCGAACCTCATTTCCATCTCACACCCTGACGTAGAGGCTGCAATATAAAGCCCAACGTTACAAATATCATTACTTGTTTGAACTAATAAACAACTCACATAGTAACTAGATGTCTTTTTTTAAGGGGGGAAAATCATCGAATAACTGCTTCCGCCTGGGTGAGGCGGAAGGGAGTGTCAGACTCTTACTGACTAAAAACCACCCCGTTCCTTCTCCTGCACGTCGAGCCGGAGCCCCGGTTACCCGTTAGGTTCTCCGCGACAGTAACTAGATGTCTACCGTCTAAGCAAAAATGTATACGAGAAAGTCGTGTTAGTTACACTATTTATAACTCAAGAACGATTACATCGATTTGACTGAAAATTAATGGGGAGGTAGCTTAAAACCAGGAGACGGCCATAGGGTACTTTTTAACCAAGGTTTTTTTAAAAATCCTATGGCAACGGGTAAAACAGGATTGCGCGTACAAAGTGGCGGGCATAAGCTTATCTTCGATAGTTTTACAAGACTTCAACTTATGTAGGTACGTACTCACCGTGTTGTTACCACCAAGTGGCTCTGAAGGAAGATCATGTATCAAGGGGGTTGGGGCCTCATTGATGTTCGAGACTTCATTGGAGGTGACTGGTATAACCGGGGAGACATTATCCTGCGTTATTGGTTGCGCATCGTCTTCTTTGAACAGGTTTACTACCCCAAAGAAATCTCCAAACTGCACTATGGCTCCGTCTTTTATTCGGCGAGGCATGTATGGACTTAAGCAGGTCTAAAATAAACAATGATGCTATGTCACTGTCAGCTACCTACTTCCAGAAGCTGATAGTTTTTGTAATAACACTAGTGAAAGAAGGTGATGACATGATTGTAATTCTATGAAAACAAAATTGAGGAATATACAATACAATAAATAAATAAATGATTTTTATCTTTCTTTCTAATCAACAGACATGCGAGACTGGCGAGACCTTGTTTACTAATTGACTTCTATCAAATAATGATTTAAGACCACACACATAATAAGAAGAAGTGACTTCAAGCCAGAACATACATATGTATGTGTCATGTGTATGTATGACTTGTATGTTTGTAAACACACCAATGACACAGGAGAAAATCCTAGTTTGGGGGAAAACGATTTATTTAAAAAAAAATTAAAAAATATAGCAAACATAAATATGTACTTACAGATGATAATTTTGTATACGTCTCAGATTCTAAATCCATAACCATTAATTCTTTTTTATCTATTATATTTATCAAAGCATGTTCTTTCGAAATACACTGAAAAGAAACATTATCGGATTGTTAACTATGTTTTCAGACAGAAGAAAGAAAAATAAATTATATTACCTACATCATGTTTTTATTTGGCATAAGTTGATAGGTAAAAAGTTTCATTATACGGAAGATTTTTAAATAACGAAGGTTATACCCGCACATTACCCGCACTTAATGCCACTGTACAATGCAACACCCACTTTACACTATTTATGTTATTACTCATAATAGCCCTTTTGACTGCACGCTGCCGTGCAACGCGTCGCGGGTTCGATTCCCGCACGGAACAACACTTTGTGTGATCCACAAAATGTTGTTTCGGGTCTGGGTGTCATGTGTATGTAAACTTGTATGTTTGTAAACGCACCCACGACACAAGAGAAAATCCTAATGTGGGGCAACGCCTTTTAATAAATAAAAAAAATAAAATAAAAAGCCTATTGCCATATACCAGGCACAATTCCAGACTCCGTGCTACTACTGAGAATTTTTTAAAAACCCTGTAATATTTTACCCAACCCGGTAACCAAACCCAAGATCCCTTGCCCGCCAGTTGCACTTGCAATCACTCGTCCAATGAGGCATTCATTTTGGCTGGCAAACATTTCTTAATAATTAGTTTGGTTTGACCACTGACCTGTTTTTAAGGAACAATACAGGCAGTGGCCAAAAATGTTTACATTATAGAATTGGAGAACAATGTTATTTCCGAGATATATATTGTTCTAACAAAGGAAAAATTTTATTTTTTAAATCTCTTGAATACAATAATTATGTACTTACACCAAAGTTTAAAATTACATCACATGTTTCTGGGTCTTTTCCTATTTTGTTGCATCCTTTATGCAATGGAAAATTCTGTCCACATATACTGAGATATCCAACCTGTACGTAAACAAGGAGAGGTTACTCTTAATAACAAACATAGAACAAAAAATATTCAATAAATAGTTTCAATATGATATTAAGCGCCGGTTTCACTACCTCCTTAAAAGTACCTGATAAATTTATGTGACAGATAGTTCATACAAATTATGTTCTGAATTCAAACTATCTGGTAGATAACGGCTATCCGGATATTGTGAAACAGGCCCTTAATGTTATGATTTAAAACCTACATTTAGGCACTTTAAATATGTTTACTACGAATTTCAGAAATAGTTCTACTAAAATATTCAGTAAATAAAAGAAAGGATTTTTTTATTTATCTACCCACTATTTGAAATGTCAAATGAATTCCTATATGTATTTTTAAGAATATCTGATCGTTAATGGAACTTGAAATACATTTTTCCAGGTGGATTTCTATTTTTATAATGAGGTTTATTGGAATTACCTATAATAATAATAATAATAAGCCCGCAGGGCACCTTGAGGCGAGGTGACGGGCATTAGCGATCCCGCGGGCTACCATCATCCCGAGTGCTCCAGGGAGAAGGCACCGTTCCTTCTTCTCCGGCTTGCCTTAATTGGCTGGCTGGAGTGAACGATGACAAGGAACAGGTCTCCCACCTCTGGCTTGCCTTCATTGGCCGTCCAGAGTGGAGTCGCGAGAGCAGTGATCCTGCTCGGAGGGTAAGAAACTATTCGTAAGTCGCGAGTGGGCCAGGGATGCAGGAAGCTTCGGCTGGAGCAGATGATCTGAGTAGAAAGCGGTGGTAGTTTCTTAACCCTTCAGCCACTCACATTCTCGTTGCCCCTCTGTTGCTATATCTAGCAGCCATTCCCGGGGCCCGGTCGGTGAGTTGGCGAGTCTCCGCCTGCCATTTTTACGTGTAATAATTACATTGTTTCGGCAGGTGCCATAGTCATCCATAGTTCCCAATTTTCCAGTCCACAGCAACCCATCCATAGCCCTATCTTTTTTTTCCATTATCCTCAATAGTTTTACACTAACCGGAGACTGTCCTTGGGTGCATTTCCATAGTGCATACAGGGATAGTCGCCGGTTTGTGTGTCCATTACATTTATATTATAGTTGTCTAAAGGGCCTCTGCGCAGTTGGCTTCGGCCCCTCGTACGCCTCCCAAATGACCGGGACCCTGTGGTCCCGTGAATGGTAAAGACATACATAATAATAATAATACCAATTTATTTCAGATAATAAAATCCATAAAATTACATTAAAAACGAATTCAGGTTCAAAATTATATAAATTAACAAATTGACTTTATAGCAAGTATCATAAAATAAAAATAAAAATCATATCGTTCATTCATCAAATAATCAAAATAATAAATTACACAAACACACAAAGAACATACATAGTCAATTAATTATAAGTAGTCAGTTTCAATTATAAATAATCAATACAATCTCAATATAAGTCAATAATAATACAAGTCAATACTAATACAAGTCAATAAAAAATACAAGTCAATAGATAATAATACAAGTCAATAGATAATAATACAAGTCAATAGATAATACAATTCAATAGATAATAATACAAGTCAATAATATAGGTATGTCAACTATAAATATGAGGATCAAACTATAACCTATGCAAAATCAATAAGACATACTACATTTTAAATCTAAATGAGTAGTACTGACCTTTTCGGGAACAGGTCGTTTGGGATTTAGCAGGGGTAAATCTTCGTCAGACTCCCAACTTTCATCTGAATCTGATTCCATAATTATTACACTATTTACACTTAATTAATTAAATATATAATAATTGTATGGAATTCGTATTCAAATCGACGATTTACAATAACTGCCAAAGAAAGTGGTTTAACACACTGCTGTCACTGTCATCCATTGTCTTTGTCATCAATGTCATTTTCTTTTTAAACTGTCAAACACCAACCGGTCACCGGTGACCGCGACCTATTGTTCTTTAATTGTGTCTATAAAACCGGTACTCGACGAGTTAAGTTTTCGGCGCATACGCCTCCTACCCGCTGTTTATCCAAAATTAATTATCTTTCTTTTGTACATAAATAATTTATTAATCATTTATTTCAGACCAAGGGTCCATGAACTGTTAGTAACAATGAGCTTAACCTATTGTTAGTAATTTAATATAATATAAATAAACAAAACTAATTCTACTTTACAGCCGCGTGCAGTCTAATCCAATGGCCCATCATTGGGCCATCCCATTTATCACACAATACGCTCAAGATGCTGTGTGAACTGCCACGCATTCTAATAATGTAAGATATCCTAAAATTACACCTACTAAGTATGTATCATTAAATTAAAATACAATTTTCAGTTTCGTTGGAAAAAACAGGAGTCCATAGTCTTATAGGGAACAACAGGGAACTGGACCCAACAGGTAGGTAGCATTTAGGCTTCAGATCAGGAAGTTGCATAGTAATCACATTGTTTTATGGAATTGGGGGCCAAGAGAAACGTTATTTTCATGAATACGTTGGAAAAATTGGGGTATTTTGGTTTTTTAAAAAATCTTATAAGAACACAGAACTCCATAGGCTCAGCCTATTTTTAATGGGACTCATAACATTACTGGTGAAATGTGAGAGCTATCTTCATTTAATTGTGTATCTGACAAAATATTTAAAAAATCACACTAACTGAAATAGATTTATTCTTCACAATCCAAGATTTACCAAAGATCTTCAGGGGTATGCGTATCAAAGGTGTTACAATAACAAAAAAAAAACTCAAATATAAAAATGAAGACTATATTATACAATAATAGACAACAAACATATAAAAACATTACAAATGCGTAAACTATGATTACAACTATCAAAATTATTATATCATACATTTATTAGATTATCACGCATTCATTCACTTTTAGGTATAACCCTTATATTTAGAAAAACATTAAAATTATTAAATCACGACAATTTTACAATGGCATAGGGTAGTTTCTTAGATTCTGAGTACCGTCATTACAGACACAATGAAAGAACAATAGGTTGCGGTCACCGGTGTCCTCGCGGTGTTTGACAGTTTAATGCCCGTCTGGTAGATTAATTCAAAACATTAGACACGTATTTTTCCTTTTCTCGCAAAATTAAATTCTTTCGACAATATATTAATTTGAAAAATCGACCTCCCACTGCTAAATTCAACTCAATTTTATCTAAGTTGTTACTTTAGACGAGAAAAAAAAATGTGGCTTATATTTTTTTATTAAGTATCTAACTGACGGACCAATTAGATTTTTAATGTTCATACCCTAGCAACTACCCTATTATAAAAGCATAAAATTTAATCAATTAAATGAATTAAACATTACAATAAAAGAATTAAAAATACATGAATGTTTTGGTTATATTTGAAGACTAATCAGATGACCCCCACTAATTCGGTCAGAATTTGTACAAAATTTCTTTAACACAATTTTCTTTTTATTGCCAAATTACAGTGGAATTTTACGCGGATTAAATTGTAAAATTTTACATAATATAAACAAAAATAATAAGTAATACTACATACATTATATTACGACAATAATTATTTGTTGGCGAAAAAGAATCTGCTGAAACTTTGTACACAAAATAAAGGAAATGCCTTTAGTTTGTGGAAAAATCGGCCATAATATTTCAACAAATATATAATGTGTGTACAGAATATAATTTTTTATATAGATTTAGTTGCGGAGTAGCGGACAGTAATGCAGGTAAAACAACGATTTTTCAGAGCTTTATAAATGCTTAAGTTAATTGTGATGCATTATTAAAATAATCGTTGACTGGCAAAAAAATTAAAAATTGGGTGCAAAACTTGCACTTATTTTAATCAATTTAAGCCATATTAAAGAAATCTTTTATAAGTTATTATATTACGTAATATAATAACTTATAGAAGTTATAGCATATTACGTAATATCTCTTGGATCTCTCATTTAAGGACACAATTGCATGGCAAAGACGATGCATTACAATCTAACTGTACATTTTAAATTGTAAAAACTTATCACTAACAGATGCCTAGCAACCAGCTTAAAGTCCTTGAACACTACACAAAAATAGGTAAAATAAGTAACCGAAAATTATCAAATACCAAATGAAATATTTACATGTAATTTTAAACAACAAATATCAGCTTTACCACTACGGCATAAGGCCTACAGTAGTTACTATTAGGTAGATATTTACAAATTAATTTTAAACAGACACGAGATTTGTACTTTATGAGTTTCTTCTAAAATATTTCGTAAAAACTCGATCGTCAAAATAGATTTATTTACAAGAACATTAGATTTCAGAGCCTGTCTGTATTATTATTACGAACATTAATGAACTTGCAACGTTTCGATTAAAACTAAAAGAAGAAAAAGGAGAGGATTAAAGGTACCGGAGGTTCCACTAAAATGCAATATTTCACTGGGAAGCTAGGCCGTTCAAAAAATGCGGACATAGTCTCTTGAAACAACGACTGTGGCACCTGGCTCCTATAGACTTACACCCAGAATACGCACACATTGAAGTATCTGAGTAAAATACTGTAGATGTCTAAATTTTTATGTCATACTCTTGACAACAATCAAAATATCGGGCACATTACTTGACGAATCTTTTGACACAGGGCAGTTTTCTACCTAAAATATCTAAGAGAAAATGTCCTTCAAAATGCATTGATGGTTAAGTATCCGGGTCTCTTCAATGTACAATGTGCACAGTTACTTAGTATTTAGTGTAAGACAACGAATATAATGTGTTATGTTCAAGTGTAAGTACGAAGATAAAGATTAATTCAGTACAGAGACAGAAATATTTTTTAGGCTATGTAGTCAATTAATGATTACAAAAGACTTCATGGCATTTATTTAAAAATGGCTTCATCGAAACCAAATAAATAATAACTTATATTGTGTATATTTCCTTACCTGCATACCACGTAACTGTGCAGATTGTACTTAGTTAAAGGTATTACTGGCTATTTCGAGTTTCTGTCTCAATACACCCCCGAGTATGAATTCCGTGGAGACCACTATGGCACCCCGTCGCCTCAGAGCTGGCCAGAGATCCTTATCCTTGGTACAAGACACACAGACCCAGTTTGGTCCACTCTCCTTCCAAGTACCGCCTGAACACTCTACTATCACTGGAATAGAAATTATACTTGTTTGAGGACAGGAAAAACGCTTATCTTATATATTTGGTTCTGGAAAACAGCAAAAGTTTTGATCTCTACTCACAAAACCAGGATGTTCAGTTTAGTATATTCATGAAATGTAATTAGCCATTTGAATAAAAATAAAAATAATTTTTCCAAAGTGAGGAGAAAGAGGTCATTGGCACCCAAACAGACGGATCACCTGATGGTAAGCAATCAGCATCGCCCGGACGCAAGATCAGAGAAGTTGCTAGTGCCTTGTGCCGGCGAAACATAACACAAGCATTATTTCGCACCAATTTTCAGAAGCTTTGATAAAAACCATTAAGGCTTAAAACATTTGCACATTTAACTGTTAGTAATTTACAATTCCACTTACATTTCATCTCAGAGGCATTGGGTTGTACATTTGGTGTGGAGGACACATTGTACCCCTTCAGGAAGTTCCTATTGCTGCTCAGGGTTCTCTGCAAGTTGAACTGGAACCTCTGCTCAGCAGCCTCGTCCTTCACCAAGTATAGCCAAGGGTCTGAAAGTGGATGGCATAATATTTTAACACATGTATCATCATCATTATTAAAAACAAATTCTTGTTCTTTATATAAAGTAGGTTGATTTTGTTCATTATTTTAGGCAGAATATAACATTTTAGTAGCATCTGTTCAATTAAAATTGGTTAACTATTTTAAGCGTGAAACATTGGCTGGCGCCTTCTTCTTCCGGAGGTTGCCGATGATTATAAGGGCTACCTGCATTCTATTCACTTTCGCATTTTTTATACAATACAAAATAACAAATACACTATTCAGTATTATACACATACAATGTTCAGAAATAACCAACGAGGAAGAGAGATTACTTACCAACAATCATGTGTGTGTCGGCGCAGGCTTGCACCCAGCCAGGCCCGACGATGGGCCGGCCCAGCCCCACGGCACACAGCAGTTTGAATGTACGCTTTATTTGCATCGTCAACACCACCGTGCATTCCATCACATTCGTTACTATTACTGCTCCTGAAATAGAGAATAAGGAAAAATATATTTTGTAGCTCAAACATAAGATATAAGAAATAGCATAAATGCTGACTTCTTGACTTCTCATAAAATATGTATTTTTAATTTTTAAGAATCGTAGATTAGATCACGTAGCACGTTGACATCTGTACTAGCAGCTTTTTGCAACCACTGTAATAGATAATTTAAAATATCAAAATATATCTTACCTAGTTTCTCCAACTTTTGCTTAACGTCTGCGCTGGGGAATGCCGTGAAAAGTACGTGATGAGTCTTCATCACTCTCGCCGGGGTTGCCCGTAACGAGGCGTTGCCGATGCCGCTGGTGCTCGAGGAGTTGGTCTGTGCCCGCGTGCGCTTGGAGCTGGGCGCGTCACTACAGTCCAACATAGACCTCTTCAAACTGCGCGGCGACTCACTACTCGACGACGAGATATTGTACACCGTGCTCTGCTCATGAGTACTGTTCTTCAGAATAGACTTAGGAGCTTTCACTTCACTTTCCTCGAATTTCGTCTTCGGTTTCCTCTGTCTTTTACTCCTCCTAACTTCCATTTCAGGTGATTTCGACCTCGATTTTGCAGTCCTTGCCCTTTCAGTAGTTCTCGCTACCATTTCAGGCGACTTTGATCTTTCTTTCTCTTGTTTCTTGTTTGTTCGCTTCTTCTTATCTTTCACTGTCGCTTTCTCAGTAGATGGTTTATTTTCACTGGTTTCACGTTCAGTATCTTTTTTCTTAGATCTAGTGCTCCTGGTAGTAGGTTTACTGACCGTTGTGGTATCTAAAATTTCTTCTTCTTGAACCTGATTATTGTGAGATTCATCACTCGTTCGAGGTGTTTCAGATTTTGGTTTAGTTTCATTTTTCTTGGGCTTTTCAATTTTTCCTTTAATCTTATCTTTGGGTTCGGTAACTTTATCTGTTTTCTTTCGAGACACGTTTTGTTTTTTCTCTTCTTTAACACTTTCGTCTTTCTTAGCATTCTTGTTACTCTTTGCCCGTTCGTATGTTTTAAGACGTTTTATATTTTCTGTGATAATTTCTTGATCGATGTGATCTTCCTGCTCAGTTAAGTAAGTTGGTTTTAAAATATTTGCACTTATGCTCTCAGTATTTAAGGCGGGTTTCCTTTGGCGAGTTATTACTCTTTCTGGTAATTTATCAATTTCCAATCGTTTAGTCAGATCAACAACAACAGCGGGTTTTCTTTTCTTTTTATTAAAATTTTTAAATGGATTAAATGGTTCATCTATACTGTTTTCCGTTTCGGATTCGCTAGATGATTCTTCTGTACCAAATGACCTTGTGTGAGATACTAAACACTTTTTTATTTCTTGGCTACTTGGTAAATCACTATCTGTAAAAACGAAAGGTTTTGCCTTTTTCGGAGTAGAATCTACATCAGATAGATCACCACTAGGCACTTTTTCCAATTTTGCTATTTCAGCAATATCATCATTTTCGTTTTTGAAAGGACTTAAGTCCTTCTCAATACCCGCAAATTTGTCTTTTACTTCGTAATCTTCTACGGAACATGGAACGACCTCATCGTCTGTAATAGGCTGGACCTCTGGTTTATCTCTTTGTGTACATAAATCATCAAAAATGTCTTGTGTATCATTATAATAATTAGGGTCTACTTCGATTGGATTACTTTTCTCAATTTTATCTTTTACATTTACTTTAGGTATATCTTTACTTTTTATCCTTATTGGAGACTGAAACGGTATTTTAAAAGGACTTTCAATCACATTGATAGGTTTTTTGATAGACTCTTTATTAGCAGGTACTGCTTCATCTATTATTTGTGTTGGTTGATCTTCAAAAGCTACGTTCTTAGAACCAGATACACCTTCATCAACACTTATAATTTGTGTGGCCATATCTTCGAAGGGTATTTTCTCTTTTTTATTATTATCTACTTCAATTATTTGTGTAGCAATTTGTGTATCATCATCAATGAGTGGTATTGGAGGGGGTTCCTTTTGATTCACGACAATAACGTCATCTTCACAATCGGTGGCGTCATCGTCTTCGGCAGGTTTTATTTCGGGGATCTTTTGGGTAGCCATTAAATCTATGTCTTCACAATCTATCGAACTATCAGATTTGATTCTATTAACTCTTTTGGACGGTTTATTCGTTATTTTGTCAGCTTTAATTTAGAGTCTTTCACAACAGGCAGGCTGGTATTATTTGCGTTGGAGCTATATCAATATCTTCACAGTCTGTCGAACTGTCAGATTTGATTCTATTCACTCTTTGCAATGGCTTTTTTATTACTATATCAGCATTAATTTTAGAATCTTTAACGGCAGGTAGTTCAGTTACAATTTGCGTTGGTGCTACATCAATGTCTTCACAGTCTGTTGAACTATCAGATTTAATACGGACTGTCCTTTTAGAACTGCTTGGATCATTTTTGTCTTGTATCTTTGGTTCCTCTTTAGTTTCTTGTTTTGGTAGTTCCGGTATTTTCTGAGTTGGTAACATGTTTATATCTTCACAATCAGTCAAATCGCCAGATGGTTGTCTCTTATCTCTATTACATGGGATTGGACTGTCTTTGGGTTTTGAATCATCTTTTTCATCTAATAATGGAATTTCACCTTGTAGTATGTTTTGAGAATGGAAGTCTTCTTCGAAGCATTCACCGTCAATATCATCAAACAGTACTTCTTCTTCCGAAGTATTTAGTACATCCTTTTTGTCTCCTTCAGCTGAGGACCTGGATATATTTGATACATTACTTTTGTTCACATTCTCTATCGAATCATCCACGATACCAAAAGGTTGGGTTTCAGCGTTGAAGATATCTTTATTATTCTCCTTGTTATCTGCATAAATATCTAACTGCATTTCATGCTGGTCATTAATTTTGCGAACTTGTGGCAAATGCTCTGTTGTGGGCATTTGCGTGTGCATAGTATGCACATGGTCCGCTGTGGGTACTTGTGTGTCCATTGTATGTACACTAGGTGACATGGCTATCTCGGGGGGGATTTGCGTGCCAGCAGTAAATATTGAATCTGTACTTTCATTAGCTACAAGGTTAGGTACTTGTGTGTCTGCTTCATAGATATTATCGGATAATTTCCAGTTTTGAGAGACACGACAGATTCATTCAGGCTAGTGTTAGGATTGTGGACAAAACTTGTTGAAGTTGATTTTTTTGGTGATAATAATCTCCGAGGTATGGATGTATTAGGCGATTTGCCTGCTTGTGGTAGAGTTGCATTCATTTTTATAAAAGAGTTTGATAACCTCGACCTCCCACATATTGGTTGTGATGGTGTCAAAAAGGAGTCATCCTGAAACAAAATTCAATCTGTGTTATATTGTTAAAAAAATACTAAAAAGCTTTAGCACTTCAGCAGTGGCAGTAAAAAACTATTAAGGTCAAATGACATAAAAAATATTTTTCATGAATAATTTAAATTCTATTACTTGGTACCCACCTTGTCACTGACATCAGGTGACTCCGGTATCAAGGTAGTTGGTGCCTTATTGAGCTTCGACACATGCTTGAAGGTGACCGGTGTCTCTGGAATGTCTATAGCCTGAGTCATTGGTAGCTCATTGTCTTCTTCCAACAGCCTGAACACTCCGAATATATCTCCAAACTGCACTGTATCCCCATCTTTTATTCGATGGGGTATGTATGGTTGTAATGTTTTCTGAGAAATAGAATACAATGTAGTTATTAGGTATATGATTTTTTATGTACACATTAGTCGCATAAGACTAGGAGCACACTTTAGTGCATGCATACGCAAGAGTTTCGATTGCAAAGCATTGATGATTGTGTGTGTATAATTGTATATTGTCAGTAAGATTGAGCCAAAGGAAAATACTCACATTTAATAATTTTGTTTTGTTGGCTGAATCTAAGTCCATAACCATAAACTCTTTACTATTTAGTACGTTTATCACAGCATGTTGTCTCGAAATTGACTGAAAAAAAAACAAAAAATAAATAATCTGGTACATTATGTTGGGCACAGACATAAAAAACTAACTCCATTATGAAAAAATCCTTCTGAAAGAAAAAAAGAATAAAAGATAACTTGTACGAAACATATTTAATGTCACCTTAAAAGGACAACAGAAATGGTTTAATTGGAAATGTAATTACAGTACAGTTTTCTTAAGTGTTGGAGAGCCATGCTTCGGCACAAATGGGCCGATTCGACTGGAGTGATACCACGGCCGCACAAAAGCACACGCAACGCAAGCATTGTTTCGTCGTGTGAGAGGTTACTGAAGGTCTTTACTCTATCTATATTTAGCCCAATACCTATGAGAATGTTTGTAAGCATATCATAGAGGTAAGAGAATGTCCATTAAACACGTGAGGCTCAATTTGACAAAAATGTTTTACTAGGTACCTAATAAAATTATCGTACTTTCATTTTGTGTATGAAAACGGTAGGGGGATAATCTAGAACCTCCCACATATCACCAAGGACAAAGGGGTAGAAGGGGGGATTAAAAAAGATGCTATAAGACCTCACATGATTAATGAATGGTCCCTAAGGTTATATTATCTGGTCACATAGCTAATGAATGTGCATGTACACATTTGTTATCACTCAACCCTCCTTTACCCCCAGATACCAATATCCTAGTGTCCAAGGTTAAACAATAACAAATACATTATAGGACTGGATATTGACATAATAACTAGATCATAATTAATGGAAATGTTAACATCGAATTTTTTTTAGTAATATTGTTTTATTTTATTTCAGTTTATGTGGTACTAGCTTTTACCCGTGGCTTCGCTCACGTCAGAAAATAATAAAAAGTAGCCTATGTGACATATACCGATACACACAGCGCCATCTATACCAATACTTTTGTTTTCCTCAGGAATATAAATTTTTTCCGGGTTAGAAAGTACCCTATTATTTAATCCGGACTTCTAACTTTACTTCTGCAAAAATTCAAAACAATCGGTTGAGTAGTTACGGTGTGAACGTGGAACAAACAAACAAACTCACTTTCAAATTTATTATATTAGTAAGGATGATGTAGGTTCCTTCTTCATTGTTATGGAACAACAATGATGGATGGATAATGATCTAAAATAAATTTTTGTCAAAATATTTGATAAGTTTCGCAAAAAAATATTTGTTATTTTAATTAAATGCACCTTGCTTGATATATCTGCAAGGTATCAGGTAGATTAGATATTGGAAGAACCTCTATGAACATGTATGTATTCCCTCCAGTTACTTTTTAAACATTCTTTTTAAAAACACTACTTGAATTTGAGTTCTTTATCATATATTTATAATCTGTGTCTGGTTTGTGATTATAGAAGATAAGATGTCAGAGGTAAAAGAGTGGTATTGTTGTTATGAAAATGAAAAAATGCAATTTAAAGGTCTGATAAGTATAAAACCATAATTCTTGAACATAATTCTCATTTAATATGACAGTTGAACTCAACTAAAAAGTGTAAATAACTGTGTAAACTTAAATACAATGTAAAAGAAACTGTTTGTTGATAGCATTACAATCTAGGACGAATGAATGAGAGAGTTAATATTCCTAAATAATATCACAAAAGTAACCTTCTCCAAATAACTTTTTCTTCATTCAAGATACTTACATTCAAATTCAGAATTATATTGCATGTTTGGGGGTCTCTTCCTATTTTGTTTGGGCCCTTTAAAACTGGATGTTTCGCTCCACATATACCCAGATATCCAATCTGTAAGTAAACAAAACTAAATGAATTGCGCGGCAATTACATAAAATTCATTTAAGTAGTATTGTATTCGAACAGTCTAATCTTGTGATTAAAGAGCAGTTAGGCTAAATGAATATTGCTTAATGAATGAACATTAGGTACTTCATGAGATCAATCGGAATTTGTATCTATGACTTGATAATCAGAACCAATTTTAAAACAACAAACCAACCTGCTCCGGGCATGTTCTCTCCGTTTGTGTATTGTTTAATTCTTGAGTACACTCCAACCTTTGAGTACATTCCATTTTTGTTTTACTTCATATCAAATTATACCATTAAATAATATTAAATAATGAAACCATCAGAATCAAAAACTTCAAAAGCACTCTTCACTGTTTATTCGTATAGACTGTAAGCAGTCTTGTGAAACTTAGAACAAACATTATTTTGTATGGAGTCCGTAACATTCAGTGTACCAACATTCAGAAAAACGTTGAGGTACCAACACAACAAAACGAACTTGGTACTTAGTACTCCCGATAATTGACACAACATGGCTGCCGTCTTTGTGTAAATTTTTGTGTTGTGATTATTCTGTTTGTTTTTTCCTTTTTCCTTGTGATTTCGGAATTTAACCTAATAGAATAATTTATTTTATTGTGTGTTTAACGTTGAGTCGAGCAACTGTTCCTCCGTTTCATCTTCACGTGGTTTTATTGAGACATTGACTCTGTTAGTGTAAGTGATTCTTGTGAGATATTTGACTCTTTTATATTAATTTGTTATTATTACCTATTACCGAGACAGTGACTCTAAGTTTGTGTTTGTGAATACCTTGTACATCATCATGGGCAAAGGTCACAGACGTTGTGAAATTTGCCATACGAACGAATCTTGGCCTACTGCTAACAAACTACATTTTTCCCTTTTCATCTGGATCCAAATCGGTGTGTACCTACTTACTACCCATTGTTAATGGAAATGTGAATTTATAATTCAATTCATCGCTTATATGATACTTTCGAACCGTCAATTAAGATTAGCTGAACTCAAATAAAGTTTTAAAACATGAAAGGACCATGAGCACCTTGGTATGCAAATTGAATGTTCATCCGACAGAAATGAAATTTTTAGTATATTACGAGTTTATAATGTATGGAGTTGTTGTGAGAAAATCACACTTTAAATGTTTGGAATTTAGGTTATCAATCACTTAATTTCGTTAATGTTACAATCATCACTGTAGTACTTGAATTGATACATCAAACAAAACATCAAATCTTTTACCCACTGTAAAGGTACACAGAGATGTACGGTCGTAAGCAGGTTAACCTATTCTTTTCTGTCAAATTTATTACATTTCTAACTTATTGTATTGATATTGTCGAAAATCCCATTAATGACTGTATAATGACTCTACAATTATAAAAGAACTAACCTTTTGCGAGTTATGGTACTACCTGCTTATAAGGAGAACAATTTTATTTGTTTTTTAAATATAAACGTTAAGCCTCTGTATATTCTGTATTAAAAATATGTAGGCAATAATCAGTTTTTGGTTTTTACAGTTTAATACGGTCACCAATTACAGATTAACCCACATTTTTTAATTAAAGTTCTAACTTAAGACTAAAAGAAATAATGTGCATTAATATTCGAACACCGCACACAACTATAGATGTTGCTAATGCTGGGGTAAAATTTCTTTAAGCGAGCGAGTGAGGTTTTTGTGTTACATGTAAATAATGTTTATTAGCATCATCGTGAACACAGAAGTGAAATTTAAATGCATGTCCTTATTGGAATAAAATTCTTTAAATGCTTATTATCCACCTGTAAGACCGTTTTGTAAATAAATATAAAGTAGTAAGAGTATGATACAAATTTTTATGTTTATATATTGTGCTATTACATAGTTTGGTAGTTATTTAGAGTAAACATTATTTTTTTGTGTTTCAGTTGCCGAGACTGACTAAAAGCAGTTGGAAATGAAGAATTGGTTCATCTACCAATAGAAAAATTGCATGAGAACCGAAGTGTTTGTGCTAACCACTTTAGAAAACAGGATTACAACAAAAAAGGCAATCGTCTGAAAAGAAACGCAATCCCAACTTTAAATTTGACGGCCTTACTTCTCACTGATGTACAATTGGCAGAATTTCCACAGCATGTGTTTAAATATTCAGGATCAAAAGGTAAATTGAATAAATAAATTCTATAGTTTATTTCTACCATAAACCAGTTGATCTGGCTAGCATACATCAATTAATATTATATTATGTCAATCTTCTGTTTTGTGTGAATTTTCTGTTTTATAACAATTCGTATCTTCCCTTAAGTGTTATGAATATTTCAAGTCCAACATTGGCTTAATCATTTACGAAGTCGAGAACAGTAATTCATTTGTATACTTACATCACCGGAAAATACCAAATTCCGTAAGTTTATAAATTTTTTAGGAAAGGACAGATTTGCAAAACAAATGTATGAAGTCTGGGCCTACCCCTCAATATCAACATGTCAAATGTCATCAGATAGAACTTTTAAAATTAAACATTAGTTACTAATATACCTATGGTAAAATGTCTGTGGTTTCAGAGGTACAACATCCTAAAGTCTAAGTATTCTTTATGGTTCAAAACTCAATATCTTTATTGTTTTTCCACATTCTAAATAAAGGTATTACATTAAATTATGGACCCCATTGAGCACAGCACGAGCTAGGACGCATGCATGCATTAATATTCAAACAATTTATCTCTTACTAAATATAACTTTGACAATTTAAATTATTATTCTAATCTTAGAATTACTATTGGATTAATCTCAACTGCATACTTCTAACTTACCTACTTACATCTATTAACTGTTGTACATTAATGAACTTAGCAGATGCTCTAATATTCTTTATTTAAATATCAATCAACTCATTATGTAATATGTATTTATTTCATTATAATATTTTTTTCTATTCTTATTTACTTACATAAATTTGTTTTTATTGAATGTAAAATATTATTATGTTTTATGTAAAATACGTGACTAATGTTTTAAAAGAATTTAAACAAATGAAATGGACATTAAAATAAAAATTAGGCATCTACTCTATTTTTCAACCAGTCTTTGGAGAAGATTATTTAATTATGTTCGTAGATGATATTTCTACCTAATACTACAATCCAATAGAATACCAGAGGAGCTCATTGCAAAATAATATAACGTATACGAGTCGATCCCCGAGTATGTAAATACTACAGCCTATCCTACTTATCTTCGAGAGCGTTTCTCCTTGGTGCGCCCTCCTGAAGTCCTTACTCGTTCTCATCTTAAATCCTATGTTAAAATTGTGCCCCATAATACCGACTTCTACTCCTACTCCTTCTCCGTTCATGCAGTGAGACTATGGAACTCGCTCCCGCCGAACATTCGGGACGCCAAGTCTATCTCTATCTTTAAGAGACAAGTGAGAGAACATTATCTTTCCTCTTGAAATATAGTATTTTCAGTATTTTCTGTATTTTTTTATATATGTATTATAATTGTATTATATTAATTTGTTTTATTGTTTATTATTGTTAATTCTATTGGTTTCTTCGGTCTTATTACTTTTTTTTTTTATTAATTGATTTTTATATTGTTTGGTAACACACTATGTGTCTCAATGTTGTTATTTCTTTTCCTGCCACAGGCCCACAGGAAGAAATTCCAGTTGGAATATGTGGGGCCTATGTACTCTGTTTTTTATTATGTATTGTCCTCTGTGTTGAATGTGTGTACATAAATTAATAAATAAATAAAATAAATAAATATGCTTGAGGTTAGTTTTTGGATGGGTGGCAATTTACTAACAAACTCCATTCCTAGTATGTACTGGTAGAAGGTAGGCGTAGGCGTTGTAGAGCTGAAGTAGGAAAGTAAAAAATGAGTTTTGCAATGTTTATTTCACAAATAAGATCAACGATTACTTAGATCAGGATCAGTTTTTTGGAAATGTAATAGGCACTATGTCTTCGAAATCACAGACTTTTAACCTTATTCATAAAATTAAGTTTTATCCTGCAAAAGAATAAGTATCCATAGAGAGGTATCTTATTTATATTGAAAGGTGGGTCCAAAATTACCCATTACCCTTTATAAACTTTTAGAAAAGTAATAAATTTTCGTAGGATTCTAAATGAAAGATGAATTGTGTAAATTTTACTCCCATATTTTACATATTGAAACGGTATGTTCTAAGCCATGTTATACAGTTATTAAAAACAGGTACAATTTCTCATTTAGGATTCATAACAAAATTAAGAAAAACTCTTAAGCACTCAGGAAATAATTTGGATACTCAAGACATTCTGCACTGTGTCTTCGTCAGGCTACTCATTTTTTTTATTTACTTATATAATTTTGTTATTAATATTTTTCAAAAATAAGTAACCAAAACAGCTTTATTTTGCTTTAGAAATTCCACCAGCTACTGAACAGATCGAAAATATTTAGAAAGTGGAGTCTGGTATGTAATTTAATACCTCATTAGACAAATATCCCTTATTCCCTTGTATAAACCTTTTGAGATGTTCTGAGGAGAAATATTAAACTGGGGTGCATGAAATGTGGGATTATTTCCATTCTCCATGACTGAAGCGTCATCAAAAATGTTTATTGCACTTAATTGTATAGAAAATTAAGATACTTCTATTATTCAAAATTAATACTGATATTTGAATAATTGGCACATCGAAACTTAATAATTTCAAACCACAATTTATCTTACAGATCTTCTACTTGACGTACAGCCAGTACCATCCACGAGCCAGCAGTCGAGACAACAGACAGTCCTTAAAGAACTGAATCATAATGGTATGTTATGCTACCAAATTCTATTAATACATTATTAATAATTTATATTAAATATATTATATTAATACACTTATTAATATAAATTCTATTAATATATTATTTCTATGTGACATTCTATGGATGTGATGTCGTGATGGCCGAGAAGGCCACCTAGATTCGAAACCTAGCAGGTACCAATGTTATTTTTTCCAAAGTATAAATGTTATATACTTCTCAAGTTTATTTAAGTATTTCTTAAAACGTCCTGAGTAAACCTGGACTTATTATTTCAAACTATGAGTTTGAATACTCCAATCTGTCTTGAGCAAGCGTACAGATTGAAGCTTATACTGTCTCCTTGTGAAAATAAGTATTTGTTCAGCAGTGACCATTTCTGCCTAGTAATGATGATGTGAAAGTTTATAGTTTGATAGTGCGTAATTTAAAATATCAGTTAATCCGTCTTTTAATTTCA